ATTGGTTGATTTTCAAGAGCCAGTTTTTGGATTTGCTTCGAGTACGCTTGGACAGCTTTCTTGTAGTTTTCAACGGTGTTCTCATCGCTTAAGTCCATTATACCCTCGCATGGATCAGAGTTCAACGGTTTTGCGCCCGCCTGTGCCATTTGTGTATTACTCGCCATATTGGTCAGTCCAAAATCGTCCTCATTCAACAGACTTCTCTTGGCCCTCTCACTAAGTCCACCCAAAATCTTTTTCGGTAGATCAGGTTCTTGTGTGATCGGCCGGCCTAAGCCAACTCCATGCGTTGAACCGTTTTTGACGGCATTTGCCATACCCTTGGCCGTACGAAAACCACCCGTAACATAGACGATACAATTTTGCATATGTCGAATAATTTCCTCGGCAAAATCCAAAAAGAACGCCTCTCTCAGTTTCGTCGACTCACGTTTATGTGAGAATGCGAACTCTTCAATGGTACCACCAGACAGTTCAATGAAATCAAATCCAGCCTTATCGATCAGTTTACAGATCTCGAGCGCATCTTTCGGTTTCAATCCATCTTTTTGAAATTCAACCGAATTCACTTTCACACCGACAATGAAATTGCTCTTAACCACCTTCTTGATCGCATCGTAAATCTCCAACAAAATACGCGTACGATTCTCACACGATCCACCGTATTGATCAGAGCGTTTGTTGGTTGTCGGTGACATGAACTGCGATATCAGATAACCGTGTGCTGCGTGCAGCTGTACACCATCGAAGCCAGCTTCTTCACAATAACGAGCTGCATAAGTGAACTTATCGATCACCTGTCAACATTCACATCAGTTAGATGCCTACTGATGAGTTCAAGTGTCGTATGATTATGAACTTATCACACACTTCCCGTCCCCGTCGGTAAAAGTCATGAGCACAACAAATGAGAAGAAGAAAGCTTATGTGATGAGGTCACATGCCACAAAATCATTTAACCCCAGATCCTGAATTCTACTGTGCTATATCACAATCCGGCAGACCTACATCATTTAATATAAGTTAGATAGTGATGGGAAATTAATTATCTCCAGAGATCCTCCAGAGATCATCAGGAGTTTTGAGGAGCTCTCCAGTATGACTTTTTTTCAGATTAAACAGATGTTTTCAAATTAATGATTTTTTTCAGATTCATAATAGCTGTTTTTTGACTAAATAAGCTTATAACGACGACGATTTGGGTTGTTTTTAAAGCTC